TATGTGGTAAAGTACACAAGTAGTCCCCCGACTATTGGGTAATGCTTTGATGAATCCCTTGACTATTAAAAGTTACAAAATAGTTCCCGGACTATAGGGTGTTGCTTTGTTGAGCCCCTAACTATTAAAAGTTACAAAATAGTCATTTGACTATTTGTTCCAAAAAAAAAATTGACAATAGTCTCAATCAGATGTTAACATGTTGACTGAGATATAATAATTTTTTAGATTCTGAGATTTAATTTTATCATATCTTAGTCAGCATGTTAACATCCAGATCAAAATGTCATCAACTTTTTTAACAAAAAGGACAAGTTTGAAACATACTAATTAGTCAAGTGACCATTTTGTAACTTTTAATAGTCGAGGACTCAACAAAGCAACACCCTATACTCAGATGATCATTTTATAACTTTTAATAGTCGAGGGACTCAACAAAGCATCACCTATAGTCGAAGGACTATTTGTGTACTTTACCCTAAATAATGATTTGATATGAGTACTTTTACTATAATTTTCTAAAAATTTAATTTTTGTCCTAATAATTTGTTTTCCTTTCAATTTGGTTCTATGATGTAAATACAATTAAAAATATATTATGATATTCTTAATTAAAATTGTTTATGGTTTAGCTATTCATTTAAACTTGAAATGTAAGAGGATTTGGAAAAAAAATATTAAATTCAAAAGTATACTTAAACTAAATATAAGCCCATTTAAAATATAATTTGAGTTCAGGCTTTATTATTTATGGCTTGACCCATTTTTATGTTCATAATATATTGATTAATTTATTTTTTATGTATTATATAATCTATATCATGTAAAATTTAAATTTATAATATTATATGTAAATATTAAAATTATATTATTTTTTTACAATTATAAATGAGTAAGAATTATATTATTTTATAAAAATAATAAAATAAAAGGTATGTACAATTATTAAATATTAAATGAAAAATATAATAAATATTTTTTAAAAATAAAATTGGTATAGACGAGTTGAAAGCGAATTTAATAAAATAAAATAAATACAGAATTTAAGACATATATTTTAATTTAAATCAAATTTAAATAAACATAAAATATATTAATCTCTAATATAAATCTAACATTTTTTATTAATATAGAGTAAGTATATAATTGATATTGAATACTCGTATTTTTAATATTATTGATGTTCGAATGAATAGAGTTCGTGCAACATAAATCTAACTTAAATTAAACACTTATAGTTGTTTGACATGTTAGGCTCCACCGTGGTTATACGAGTGCTCGCAAGCCTGGTCTTAACAGTGAGCTGAACCGGGCGTAGCCCAATATTGATATGTGGGTTCAGTTTGATTTATGATATATTTCCAGTCATTGCACACCAAGCACTTTGAACAACTGGCTGTGTTCTGAGGCAATAGGCAGTGGTTTGAAAAAAGAAATAACGGGGCATCTAAAACATAAAGAAAAATACACCGATGATTTATTTTATTATTATTATTATCTTTATTTGTTGATTAAACGAAGGGTCGTAAATAGTTGTCAGTCAAAGAAGAAGAAGAAAATAGGATCAAATCATAATAAATATGAAATTTAAACTCTAATATATATGCTATAACAAATCATCAAGAATAAAATATTAGTTACGGAAGCGTATTTAAATTAATTGATAGATTAAAATACTTTAGTGATATTTCAAGAAAATAGTTTTTCTATTACAATAAAAATATCTCTGGAAGGGACAAGAGTTATACAAGTTAAAACTATATTTGGAAACTATTATCTCTTTAAATTGAATATTAAATCCAACTTATAATGTCTACACTTTTATTTTCATGATATTTTAATACACATGACACATGTAATATAGTTTGTCATTTAGTTTTGTGTCATACTTAAAAATAGCATCAAACATTATATATATGTGTTCATAATTGTAGATTTTATTCCAACACATAATAGACGAACTCATAAAGATGATAAATCGTCCAAATCCAAATTGAGAGAGTGTGTTCTATTTTTCAACCTTACATGATGATTTATATATAAGTCCTTAATGTCGGTGTAAAACTTAGAATTATATCAAGTAGAATTAGGCCCATAGACTTAATAAACATATATATGGTTATTTTATATACATGTCCTTAATAATGATTTATATACGCTCTTACTTTAGCTAAATTTATAACAAATAGAATTATATGATTTAGTTTTCTTTACGAACTTATAAAAATATACTCTCATTTAACTAAATATAAATCTATATAAACTAATATTAGGCCAATAAACTTAATAAACATATATATATATATGGTTGAGATCCACCTACACAATGTATTTTTTTACATAGTTTAAAACTGTTTAATGAGTAAAAATAAATGGTCGAAATTAATCGTAGTAAATGAGAAGATATTCGCTGAAATATATATATATATATAGAAGAAAACACGATTGATTAATCACTAATCTGCACTGCTTTGTATGGGAGAGCCTCCAGCTTCATTTGCAAGTATTGCATTAATCTCAATCGGCCGTGTCGGAAAGTATGTAAACCAAAGGACAAATTCCACGCCAATTTACCCATCTGATCGACCAACTTGTTACTCTCACGAGGGCCGAAAGAGAACTTCAAACACCAGTCACGTTCTATGAAGATTCGAATGTGCGGAATCTTCGAAGACCAGGATAAACACCAATTGTTGTCAGGGCTTCCCTGCTATCCGATTCCACAAGGACTCGTCTGATTCCCAAGCTCCAAACAATGGTGAGTCCTTCAAAAATTCCCCAAAAGTTCAGCATCCAAAACTGAGCAAATCCCAATAGCCTTTACAAAACCCATTATCCAGTTGTCAAAATGATCACGCTCGGCATAGGGGCAAAGCTAGAAAAATTATTTTCGGGTGTCAAATTTAAAAATTATGTGAAGAATATTTTTTCAAGTGGACGAGAATGACTAATAGATGTAAATTTATATAATCTTTTTATGCTTAATAAGCATATTTGATGTTATACTTAATTCTTTTTTATATTTATATAATCTTTTTAAGATTACAATATTCATATATTTGCATTCAGTAAAGGCAAGCGGTTTTGAGGTTAAACAATCTCTTTATCAAGCTTAAAGTTTCTCTTGGTCAGCTCAATGAGAAGCAGAATAATTCTTATTTTTACATATAACATTGATATTATATAATATTTGAATGGAGAGTTCAAAAAACATTATAGATAAGCAAAGCAAAGTGATTTGCGAGTTAAACAAGTTTCTGTCAATTCTATTTTATGAATTGTTATATGATTCCGAAAGCTATAAATTGCTTGAATTGGAAATCAAGGCAAAAGGGCCATTTGATGTAAATTTCCCCTTTGTTTTCAAGCAAACTTGTCAACTTGATCCTCTTATATAGTAACTGAAACCGGTCCATAAACCTTTTCTTCAAGACAACATTTTCTTGAAACTGGTCCTTTAATTTTTTTTTTAAAAAAAAAAAAGAAACTGGTCCATAAACCAAATCAAAAACCTTTTCTTCAAGAGAACAGTTTCACTGACAACTAGTTAATCTAGTAGGATAAGATATTAAATCCCTAAGTAGGATTAGGAGTTTGAATCTTAATATCTACAAATGAAGTAAACTAGATTGAGAGAATCGTCCCTATAATAGGCCTCTGCAAAATCAAATCTAATATAATTAATCAATAAATCATATACAGCTGATTGCATTAGGGGGAACAAACTTTGGCCTTAAGAAAATCATATTCAAAAGTGGACCATTTTCAAAGTTTATACTCAAATTATAATAAACAATTAAATTAGATTTATGTGTAATTTTAATGACAATTTTTTATTAGATTTATTTAATAAATAAATGAAATAAGATTTTTTTTGGACTAAACATTTAGTTATATAAATGTAAGAGTATGTCATAATTTTTGAAATTATAGTAAAATGAATTATAAGAAAGATATAATAATTTTCTTTTTTTAATCTTTATTTGAGAGATGAATTTTGTAGAGATGTAATAAGAGTTTAATAAAACATTATATTTATGAATAAAAGTGAATTTTATGTATTTGAACATTAGGAAGTGTATAAATATGATTTATTTTAGATATATGAATATGATTTATTTTCGGCTCAAGATTTGATGTTTGAACTCTTTGTAATCTCTATGTTTTTATAGTATGTTTTCTCCTATTTGCATAGATAAGAAATTGAGGTCAAATCGTATTAAATTTAGTTTGTTGTGTGTGATTTATTTTATGTTGATCTCGATTTAATTACTTTAGCTCTTACAAATTCCTAATAAATGGTATTGAGTTATGGTTCAAAACTTATGATGATGTGGTCATAATTAGTTATTTAGTTTTAATGACATTGTTAACGTGGGTTGTGTTCATAAGATTAAAGCGATGCAAGCGGAATTTTGTTGCAATAAGTTTTCAATTGTATGAAGATTAACTCTCAACTAATCTAACAATGCTTCAAAATTTATTTTATTTACATAAGAATTAAAATTGCTGAAGACTTGAAATCTAATGCTATGATGAAATTTGCGTCAAGAGAATTGTCATGCATTGACTCAAATTTCTCATTTGTGTAGACATTTAGACCAAATCACATTCATTTTCATCTCTCATTTGTGATTTGATCTAAATTTGATTATTTTTCTCCTAACAAATTTATAATACCTTGCATTAGATCAAGAAGTGAGAAATTCTTGCATGGCGTATTTATTATCTAATTCCCACTTGAAGCACTGCAAAACATGATCTCGAGCTAAATGTGACATTGACAAGCCCAACATATTTCAGCAGAGTTTTGTTATCTTTCTTTTAAGGCTCCCCCTACTCCGTAGCCTTTCTTTTTGAGTTTGTTGAGCTCAAGAAGTGAAGTATACGTTTGTTGTTCTCAGCCATTAGCAAATTTATTATTGCTGTCAGTCCAGCTGAACCTGTCAATGGCCTTAAAATTTTTGTTTATTAATATAAACCACTTTGCTGGAGCTTTGATGAAAGGCTTAACAAAGCAAATTCTAAAAGCATTTAGCATGGAAAAACTGGGATTTCTTTCTTCAGTTCTTAGCAATCATCTTCTCCAACTTCTTTTGATTTTGATGATTCTGAATATTGTTGCTTATGGAGAAGAAACAAAGGTGCATTCTCCTTTTGTTTTTCCTTAATCTAATCGATAATATTTAGTTTATGGAAGTTGTTTATTAGTGTTTAATGTTACAGGATTTTTACATTGTTTACTTGGGAGATAGTCCACTGAACAAGCAATCTGCAGTTCAAGAACACATAGGCCTTCTTTCCTCTGTGAAAGGAAGGTAAAATTACATAGTAATTTGATTTGATAAATTACTGAAACCTAAGCTTTTCAAAATTGTTTTGAGCAGTGAACATGGTGCCAAAGAGTCTATTGTTCATAGCTACACTAAGAGCTTCAATGCCTTTGCTGCCAAGCTATCCAAAGATGAAGCTGAAATGTTAAAGGGTACTTAAAGTTCTTCCTTATTGGTTCATTTAATTTACATTTTCTTTCAATGGTAAGATTTGTTTAAAGTGCTTTCGAGATGTTTAGGCCTAGAAGAAGTGGCATCTGTGTTCCCAAATCGGTATCGCAAGCTTCACACTACGAAATCATGGGACTTCATTGGACTTCCTTTAACAGCTAGAAGAAATTTGAAGTTAGAGAGAAATATAATTGTGGGTCTACTTGATACAGGTTGACAACAAAACTCTTATTATCTCTGCAAGTCACTCGCCATGTTTGAAACACCATGATGTCCTTAAGTAATCTTCCAAGTACATTGTTCTTCCAGGCATTACTCCACAGTCCGAGAGCTTTAAAGACAATGGATTTGGTCCACGACCGTCAAAATGGAAAGGAACATGCAGTCATTTTGCGAATTTCTCAGGCTGCAACAAGTAAAAACCATGCACTTTTGAGTTCAACCGGTTTAATGTTTGATTGGTGATATTTTAGGTTTTTAACCCATGGTTAAATGTTTGCTGTTCATTTTGTTGGACCACCTTGATTGGGGTTCCAAAGCAAGATTATAGGAGCTAAATACTACAAGCTCGATGGCAACTCCGACCCTGCTGACATTTTATCACCTATAGACGTTGATGGCCATGGAACACACACTTCATCAACACTAGCGGGTAACCTGGTTCAAGATGCAAATCTTTACGGGCTAGCCAAAGGCATGGCTCGTGGTGCAGTGCCATCAGCTAGGATAGCAATGTACAAAGTGTGCTGGGCCAGCTCAGGGTGTGCCGATATGGATATTCTTGCCGCATTGGATGATGCTACTAGCGATGGAGTGGACGTAATATCGATATCGATCGGTGGGGCGACTCAGGATTTCGTGACGGATTCTATATCAGTTGGTGCATTTCATGCCTTGAAGAAGGGAATCATTACTGTGACTTCCGCTGGGAATAAAGGTCCAAGTTTGAGTTCGGTTTCTAACTATTCCCCATGGCTTTTTACTGTGGCAGCCAGTGGGATCGACAGACAGTTCATGAGCACAGTCAAGTTGGGTAATGGAAAAAGTTTTTCGGTAAGTTCAATATATCAATTACATGTATGCTCTTAAATTGTTACCGAATACATTCCTGAAACACATACACATGAGCAGGGAATTGGGATTAATACATTCGAATCAAAAGAAAAAATTTATCCCATTGTCAGCGGGACCGATGTTGCGATGAACTCCAAAAGCAAGGAAAACGCAAGGTTCTGCTTCGATAACACATTGGATCCTGTCAAGGTGAAAGGAAGGCTTGTTTATTGCACACTAGGCCAATGGGGTGTTGATTCTGTTGTCAAAGGTATTGGAGGAATTGGCACTATTGTTGAAAGCGACGAATACCTCGACACTGCTCAAATTTTCATGGCACCGGCAACAATGGTGAACTCAACTGTCGGAGAAACTATACAAAATTATATACATTCTACAAGGTATTGACTTATTGATTGTTGTGGCATGATTCTCTGTTGATAATGATAAATGCTGAAACCATTGAACAAAAATTTCGCAGCTCACCTTCAGCAGTGGTATATAAGTCTGAGGAAGTAAAAGTTCCTGCTCCTTTTGTTGCTTCATTTTCATCTCGGGGTCCAAATCCGGGCTCACAGCATATTTTGAAGGTATATAAGCTTTGAATTCTGCCTTTAAACTAGAGAAAATTTATGTTTTCTGTCGATCTTTGAGTGCTCGATATCTAAAACCAATAGTCTCTTCCGTACCCTGGTGTAGCCTGATATTACAGCCCCTGGCGTTGACATCTTGGCAGCTTATACTCTTACAAAGTCACTCACAGGGCTCGAAGGTGACACTCAACATTCAAAGTTCACTCTCATGTCCGGCACTTCCATGGCCTGCCCACATGTTGCAGGTGTTGCAGCCTATGTAAAATCATTTCACCCTACTTGGACACCGGCCGCGATCAAATCCGCAATCATGACCACAGGTAAAGATGTTTATCATTCTTAATACGCTTAATGTAATTCACTACTTCAATGTTAACATCCTTAACACTCTTACTTGCAACATACTAATAATCTACGCAGCAAAACCGATGAGCCGGAGGGTGAACAAAGATGCCGAGTTTGCCTATGGTGCTGGTCAATTGAATCCTGCAAGAGCCATAAACCCAGGCCTAGTCTATGACATTGATGAGATGTCATATGTACAATTCCTATGCCATGAAGGCTACAGTGGGTCGTCTATAGCGCATTTAGTTGGCACAAAATCCATAAACTGCTCCTCGATCCTTCCTGGATTCGGCTATGATGCTCTCAACTACCCGTCGATGCAGCTCAACATGAAAAAGAGCCAACAGCAAACCATAGGTGTTTTCCAGAGAAGAGTCACCAATGTAGGTCCTCCATCTGTGTACAACGCTACCATTAAGGGCCCTAAAGGAGTGGAAATCATGGTTAGGCCGACGAGTCTCCTCTTCACTCGTCCGTTGCAGAAGCGGAGTTTTAAGGTTGTGGTGAGAGCGAATCTCAGGACAAGCAGTAAATTTACGGTGCTATCAGCTTCACTTGTATGGAAAAGCAATCGTCACACTGTGAGATGTCCTATTGCTGTTTACAACTTCCCAGACTAAAATAATCATCTTTATATGTGAAAAAAATGAGGGAGCAAGTAGCTTATTTGTAACTTGAAATTTCAAGAAAATAATTGCTTCCACTTGAAATGAAATTTGGCTTTTTTTTTATATCGGTAATGGAAAAACCTACATAACATTACTATAATGGCAACAGCTAATGCATGTGAATGCTGAAAAACGTAATGTTTAAAGAATTGCATTTTTCTAAAATAAATTGTGCTCGTGTAACATTATCCAATAACACAATATAATGCTAAATTATGTTTCAATCAAGTCAAATGATGTCGAGTGATACTATATTTGTCCCGAGTGAATCGGCAAGCGAAAGAAAAGGGAACATACAAAGTTATAAAGAACAACATTCAGGTCTTGTTGTCTCCTCTTCGGAGTTTCTCAAGTTCTGCTTCAGCTTCTGATAACTGTTGCTTTAACATCGATATTCGTCGCTCAAGTTCTTCCACTGTTCCTCTTTTGCAGGATAGTTTATATGGTGAAAGAAAATGAGGCGAAAATGCTCTCAGAGCTTCAACCCCAGTAACCTAATATAAACCATACCATAGACAAATTGATTGCGGATCTCAAAACTTTTGGAAATCAACTAACAAAATAGGAAAATATCAACAGATGGGAATTTTATGTTATTACTGATTTATGTATAGTTGAACTCACCTCTTGTGGTAGCAGTGGCAGCTTAGTGATGTTAAAATCATCATATAACATGTGAAACTGGTCGATGTACTTTTGTTGCATCCGCATTCTTGCTTTTAATAAATTGGACTCAACATCTTCGATTAAAACACAAACCAATTGATGATAAGTTTTTATTTAAGCAACAATTGTAATGGCAAAGAAAGGAAAAATGAGAGATATAGTATGAAAGTAATCATACCTTCATCATCGAAAATTACTTGGTTAATGATAATATTGTGCGCATCGATCTCAAACTTGGTGAGTTCCTGAACCAGCCTCTCTGTTTCATAGAGAGAGAGGAACTCCGGAATGCAAACGCAGACAAAGGTCGTCATGTCCTATCAAGGAAACCGTGTCATACGAAAAGTATGGGCACCTCAAGAAAGTTTGAAATAGAAAAAAAAAAAGCCAAATGTTATAAGTTTAGCAAGTTACAAGACTTCAAGAAATTAGTTTTTAAAGCTCTTAATATGCTAAATTAGACGGACCAAGAGCTTAGTGTAAGCTGCCTTTGATTGCTCCCAGACAGATCGTTGTCAAAGTTCCAGTTATATCTCACCAGATAATGATCAAATCAAAAATTAAAATAGCAAATTGAAAGGGAAAAACACTTGAGAATGGGAACTAACCGGGTCTTTGAACTGCTTATTAACTTGTTCAATCACATCTTTCATGCCTTCAAGCCTCCCCAAAATTGCATCCTCCCCAAATTCATCATCAATACCGAAAATATGGGTCATCTGCCATAATGAGTTCCAAATTTTATGAGCTACAACATAAAGAAAACCAAATAGGAAATAGTAGGACCGAAAACACTTGTGCTTATATGTGAGCTATGAAAAAATGAATGCAATATCCCCATGCCATACAAACTTTATAATGATATAGACGACAAACTTGGAAGGAAGTATTGAGCGAATTGATCACTTGAAATATGATATTCAAGAAAGAATTGTAGTTTTCCTAGAAAGACCACTAAAGGTTAACACAAAATTTATTATCTATGGGCCCATTGTTGAGAGAAAATTCTCGGAAGACCAGCTGAGAAAATATCGGGTGACAGGACATACTAAAACATAAAGTTGTACCTGACTAAATAAGCCACCGAATTTGTTTTTCAATGACATCATTTTTGCGAGTCCCTTCTCCAATGTGGCAGGAAACTGTAAAAGCCGAAGTGTATGTCCAGTTGGAGCAGTGTCAAATACAATGCAAGAATAATCCATTGTTTGCACCAATCTGCAGGAAGCCAGGAACGGGTCATATTCATAAAACAAAAGATCAAAAGGTATATGAAAAACACAAGCAGAAGGTGACAAAGAGCATGCATAACAAAGCTTACAAAGAAATAAACCATCATAATTAATCTTAAAACATTTGGAAAGAGAACGGATATTTTTCAAATAAATCCTAGCATCATCAAGCATTGAAAATGAAAATAAAAACAGAAGAAAACAAGCAAAGTCTTCAATTTGGCCACTTTATTTGTCTCATGTACTACATGAATGTATGAATTAAAACTTCCAAAGCTAAAACCTGGAGAACACGTTCAATTGGTGCAGCTGAACTTAATCTTTCCCAAACAAGAATGTAATAATCGATGCCCTTTTTTAGGCTTTTGGTTGAAAAACATAAAGATAAATTAAGAATACACTGATAGAGAAAGCCGAAAGCGTTTAACAAAACAACCACAGTAATTGTTAATTCATTCCGAAAATATTTATGTAAACAAAAAACCGAAAATGAAGCAATGAACACCTAAAGATTTATCACAATCAAAATATCAAACAAAAGAGAACAGTCTTTACTTAAGCATCTCGGCAAAGCTCATTGCCTCATCAATTCCTGGAATTGCATTTGCCAAGTCAGAAAATAAACCATCCATTCCTTCAGGCCCATTCACATCTTCATTTTCCACAGTAGGATCCACCTCCTATTATGGCATCATAAGTAGTAAGAAATTAAGGGGAAATAGTGACAAACTAAATCATCAGCGCAATCTTTTTTTTTTGGCTAAATAATCAGCAGAATCATATAATGAAGTTTCTAGCGAAGAACTTGTCCCTAATAAAGAAGCCAAGCTTTAACCAGAATGAATTACAATGAAAATCATATTAACAAATTGTTCTTCGTTTCAATTGAAAGAAGTTAAAATTGGAGAATTGACGGACTGGGTACTTACAACTTCAAGAAGGAGCATCAAACTATCCACAAATCAACAATCAAACTCAAAACTAAACTAAGAATCGCTTGCCTTTTTCTTTTAATAAAATAGGAAGTAAATCTCAAAACTACGAATTCACAACAAAAATCCCAACCCAATCTCAGAAACGAAAAAAAAGGAGCAAATCCCCGAATGCCCATAGAGCAGATTTAAACAAGAATGGTACCATGGCATATAAATTGTTGAAGCCATTGACCAAAGTGGGAGTCTTTGTGAATCGTTGCTGAAAAGCATCGCTGAGATTATGAGCAGGATCCGTGGATATAATCAAGACAGAGGATCGGACCCGAGCCAAGAGGATGGAAAGAATCGAGCTACAAGTGGTTTTGCCCACACCTCCTTTGCCACCAACAAAAATCCATTTCAAGCTCTCTTGGTCCAGTATGTTCTGGACAGTTGCATCTGGTAATTCATGATTGTCGGCCATTTTTCTAGCACAACCTTTCTGCTACTTCTTTTGTTATCAGTCGAAGAAAAAGGAAGTGAGGTACCCAGAAAATCTAGCGAAAGAACCGGTTATAGTTGTCGGAGGCGTTTCATTTCATTTCATTTCCTTGTTTCAAAACAGATTTTGAAATATATATAAAATGAAGTAAAATACTCAATTAATCCCATAGTTAATTAATTATAGTAGTTTTTTTGTTATTCAATTATAAAATAATAATTTTAATTGAAAATTATATATTATAATATTTTAACACATTGAATCATTAAATTTTTATAATTTATTTTCATTTAATCATAATTTAAAAAAAATCATAATGATTTAAAATTTTATTGATTACATTATAATAATATATTTCTAATTGAAACCTAAACTCTAAACCTAAATAATATTATTGATCAAAATAGCATTTTTTATAAAGTAAAAATTAATTTTCGAAAGGTACATTTTTGTAGGACACGTCTTTATTGGTGTGATAAAATAAATATAAAATTATATCGTACTCATATAAATATGTCTTTTAAAATGACATAAACCTATAAAAAGTGGTTGATTGAGTTTAATGCAATTTATATTATTGTTAATACAATATACCGGAGGACGTAGATTGAACGTACTTCATTCAATATCTTTTAGAGAAAATCGCCTCAGTGACCAAAAAAAAGTTATAATATACGATTTTAACCAACTTTTTTTGGATTTGCCAAAATGACCAACAAAATCGCAACGCGAAATAAAAATCGCAACGCGATCCCCAGAATCGCAAATCAGTTTCCAAAAATCGCAACGCGATTCTTGAAAATCGCGATGCGATAGTACAAATTCGCATTGCGATTTTCAATAATCGCAACGCGAATATGAAAATCGCAACGCGAACACATAAATCGCAACGCGTATCCGTAAATCGCAACGTGTATCCGTAAATCGCAACGCGTATGGGTAAATCGCAATGCGTATCCGTATATCGCAACGCGTATCCGTAAATCGCAACGATAATACATAAAATCGCAACGCGTATCCGTAAATCGCAACGCGATATTTAAAGCGCCATTATAATCGCTACGCGTATTTTATTTTCAAATTACAAAAAGAATATTAAGACAAAATCCCGTAATCGCAACTCATAACCTAAAACCTAAAATCACAACTCAGTCCCATCTCCATCTCTCACTCTCTACGGCGAAGAAATCCGTCCCCATCTCCGAAGATTTCCGTCCCCATCTCCGGCGAAATCCCTCACAACGATTCACGGTCAGAAATCCCTCACAATATTCAGAAATGGAAAATCAACCTCCGAGGGTTAGTTTTTTTAATTATTTTTATTTTGAAATGTTTGCATTATTGTAGGTTTTTCATATTGAAACTGATGATAAGTTTACTGGTCATTTCAATAATAGATTAACCATTTCACTTAGATTTCATTTCGCGTTACGATTCTGTCGTTGCGATTTTCATTTCGCGTTGCTATTCTCTCGTTGCGATTTTCAAGTTAGTATTTGTCTTTGTCTTTGTTCTGTCTTTTGGTTGAAGTAATGCAATCCATTCAAGTTTCAATTTGCAGAAGAGTCGCAACGAGATAAATGAAAATCGCAACGAGAGAATGACTGTCGCAACGAGAGAATCGCAACGCGAAATGAAAATCGCAACGAGAGAATCGCAACGCGAAACCAAAATCGCATTGCGATTTTCATTTCGCGTTGCGATTCTCTCGTTGCGATTTTCATTTCGCGTTGCGATTCTCTCGTTGCGATTGTCATCTCGCGTTGCGATTCTCTCGTTGCGATTTTCATTTCAACCAAAAGACAAAACAGTGTTGCAAATTTTAGTTTCAAGAATAAACTACTACTTTTTATGTTTATTGTTTTTGGTATATCTTCACAGTGTAGTTTTTGGTATATCTAACTTGGTATGTTTATTGTTTTTGTAGAAATTTTTTCGGCTCAATTGACCTTGAGAAATAAAGTCAGCCTGGCCACTACAATTGCAAAGAAGCTTTCACCTGCTCAAAGACAATTGTTTGAGGAAACCTGCTTCGGGCCATGGCTGAGAGTACAGCATCCGGGTGGAGATGCTAATTTGACCCATTTGTGGCTTCAGACCATGACATCAAATCTACCCGACAGTATACAACGTGGTGAGGAAGAGATATGGTTTCATTTTCCACCAGCGTATACTTGCTTTGGGCGGAAGGAGTTCTGCTTAATCACTGGTCTACGATTCGGACACGATGATGTAGGCCGGTACACTCGTCATATCGCCCGCCCATCATGGTTATCCCGGGTTTTTCCGGATGAGTCAATGGAGAAGCCGAACCTACATGTCGACGACCTGAAGAAATTATTTAATAAGAAAGCTGGTTTCACTCGGATGGAAGACGTCGATGTTGTCCGAGTATGCCTTCTACTACTTGTGTATGCCGGCTTTTTAGGCAGAGAGGCCAGACAACCTATTCATCGGGAGCTAATAATATTGGTAGAGGACCTGAATGCATGGAATCTGTTTCCGTGGGGTTCGTATATATGGAAAGCTACCTGGACTAAGTTGTCGTCTGCCTTTGATGACCGCAAAAGTTTGCGGGGCGATGGGTCCAAATACACTTTGTCAGGCTTTGTTTGGGCCTTTAAGGTAAGAATTTCTATATAATGTTTCTAAAATTATAATTAATTATTTAACAATTACTAATTTTGTTATTATATTGTTTGTAGATTTGGATATTCGATGCTTTCCCCAGCATGCGTACATATGCAATAAAAACGTCAAATGATATTCCCAAGGCTATTTCCTGGAAGAGGAAAACTCTGTTGGATTGGGAAGACTTAATACCATATGCCACAATAAATAATGTAAGTTAACACAAATACTTTCATATAATATATAAACAAGTTATTAATAGTAGACGTTTAACTTTGTTTGAGTTTTTATATTTTAGGAGGCCAACATTCCATTACAAAGACTGTCACCCACGGAGGAAGAGCTTGCCACTGATTGGTGGCAAGCTAGTCAGAGTTTTTTGATGGCACGGATGATGAGCAGCATCCACTTCCTCCAATTCGAGAGCCATCACCTCACCTAGAGCCATCACCCGATCGTGACGACTATACACCTCTAGAACGAGAGCCATCACCTATCCCGTCACATCATCGAGCCTCTTCTCCACCATCACCTCATGATAGGCGACCGGCAAAGATGCCACGACTCCTATCTCCCTGTTCTCCACCTCCACCTCAACGGGATGAGTCAAGGGAGTTACGTGATGAGGTCAATGCCTTGCGTGAGGAGATCGGTACTCTACGCGATAACGATGGTGCATGGCGTGTGGAGGTGTCAACTTTACGTGGTGAGGTTGCCGCTCTACGTGAGATGATAGTATCGTTGCAGAATGAGGTTCATACTCTACGCAACGAGGTAAGTTTAAGATTTTCCATATTTAACTTAATGATAAATTTACTCGTAATTTCACTTAGATTAGCCATTTCACTTAGATTGCTTAGTAAATTTATTCGGTTGCTGCCAATTCTGCTAAACTGTGTATTCTTAACACTGTGAAATAGTATTGTCTTTGTTTTGTCTTTTGGTTGAAAGTAAATTGTTCGGTTGCTGCCAATTCTGCTAAACTGTGTATTCTTTAACACTGTGAAATATATTTGTCTTTGTTTTGTCTTTTGGTTGAAAGTAAATTTGTTCGGTTGCTGCCAATTCTGCTAAACTGTGTATTCTTTAACACTGTGAAATATATTTGTCTTTGTTTTGTCTTTTGGTTGAAAGTAAATTTGTTCGGTTGCTGCCAATTCTGCTAAACTGTGTATTCTTTAACACTGTGAAATAGTATTTGTCTTTGTTTTGTCTTTTGGTTGAAAGTAAATTTATCCATTCAAGTTTCAATTTGCAGAAGAAGAAATAGTTTTACTTTCGCAACACGAAACTTAAAATCGCAACGCGAAACCAAAATCGCAACGCGAAATGAAAATCGCAACGACAGAATCGCAACGCGAAACCAAAATCGCAACGACAAGATCGCAACGCGAAACCAAATCGCATTGCGATTTTCATTTCGCGTTGCGATTCTTTCGTTGCGATTTTCATTTCGCATTGCGATTCTGTCGTTGCGATTTTCATTTCGCGTTGCGATTTTGGTTTCGCGTTGCGATTTTAAGTTTCGTGTTGCGAAAGTAAACTATTTCTTCTTCTGCAAATTGAAACTTGAATGGATAAATTTACTTCAACCAATAGACAAAACAAATACTAACTTCAGGGTATTAGTTTGAAACATATTTTTCTTTGTTATCTGATGCATTTGTGAACTATGATAGAATAATGACTTGGGTGAATACAATGCAAGTTTGAAACATATTTGTCTTTGTTTTCACTGTTTAAATATCATGTCTGTTTATTTACTGATTTTTGTATTTAATTATTTAGCGGCCCGATAGAGTGGATGCTTTACGTCGGGTTATGCTTGCACGACGGAGTTCACGCATCAGACAGCGTGCAGTGCTATTAAGTCTCCGTACACCCCAATAGTGCGAAGACACCGCAAGAAGAAGCCCGACTCGCCTGTCATCCCTCAAGAGTCCACTCCTATCGTTGAAGAGGCCCCCCATATCATTCCTCGAGAGTCCCTCCCACCGTTCAAGAGGCCACTGTCATCATTGAAGAGGTCCCTCCCACCATTCAAGAGCCCGATTCACATGGCGTCATATGTAGGCTTCTGAGAAACCCTGTCGTGCCGGACATGATGGATTCAAGTTGGCTCTCGTATGAGTTACCGGCCAGTACCATACCGGTATCTGAAGAGGAGAGGGAACAACTACCGGACACAATTTTGGATAACACCCTTTGGGCTAAGACCGCAGTTGATTTTATCTACATGAGCGGAGCAAGGGGTGTTTCACTGACATATGCAAGCTCACCGATGATATCTTTTTGTTGCTTGAACGGCCTTGGTGGGGCGTATTATTAGGGGTCGAAGACAATGGCTATTTCGATGGGGGGGTAAGTCTTATATTTTTCTTATATTTCAATTTGATTAATTTTTTTTTTAAATTTATGTAAGTCACTAATATGTCTTTTTTTGTAAAACAGCATATCGATGCGTGGGTGACACGTCTTCTAATA